ACATTGCCGAGGCTGCTTGTGCCCACTTCCAAAATATCTTTACAGGAGTAGACAAGGTTATCAATGAAAATGCCATCAGCTGTATTCCCAGAATGGTCAGTCAAGAACAAAATAATGCCATTACTGCCATGCCAAACCTGGAAGAATTGAAGGAAGTGGTTTTCTCTATGAATCCTAATTCTGCAGCTGGTTCGGATGGGATGAATGGTTTATTTTTTCAGAAATGTTGGCATATTATCAAGCATGATCTTCTTGGTGTCATTCAAGCATTCTTTTGTGGCCAAATGATTCCTAAATACTTTTCTCATTCTTGTATAGTACTCCTACCTAAGGTGAGCAATCCCAACAAGCTTACAGAGTTCAGACCTATCAGTTTAAGAAATTTCACTAGCAAGATCGTTTCTAAATTGGTGAGCTCTAGACTTAGTCCTATTCTACCTAATCTGATTTCTCTTAATCAGTCCGGGTTCGTCAAAGGGAGAAGTATATCAGAAAATATTATGCTGGCACAAGAGATCATTCATCAGATCAGGAAACCAAATATTGGTAGCAATGTCGTTATTAAACTGGACTTGGCTAAAGCGTATGATAGGGTCTCTTGGTCGTATATATGCTTGGCGTTGATAAAAATGGGATTCCATGAGATCTTTATCGATATGGCTTGGAGGATCATGGCTAACAATTGGTATTCTATTATTGTCAATGGCAAAAGACATGGTTTCTTTCACTCCACCAGAGGATTAAAGCAAGGCGATCCTCTATCTCCTGCCCTATTTATTTTAGGTGCAGAGGTACTTTCAAGATCCCTGAACAGACTTCATAGCAACCCTGACTATCATGGTTTCATTATGGAACCCAGAGGTCCTCAAGTTAATCATTTAAGTTTCGCAGATGATATCATTCTCTTCACTTCGAGAAGAAAAAAAACTCTGAAACTCATTATGCAAACCCTGAATTCATATGAAGAGATCTCATGCCAACTTGTTAATACAGATAAAAGTCATTTTATGGTCCATTCTAATGCTTTCAACAGCACCAGAGATAGGATCAAAAGAATCACTGGCTTCAGACAAAAGGAGGGCCCTATCACTTACCTTGGTTACCCTTTATTTGTTGGTAGACCTAGGATTATTTATTTTTCTGATCTTATTAACAAAGTGTTATGCAGAATCACAAGTTGGCACACAAAATTGTTAAGCTATGGTGGTAGAGCAATTCTTGTCAAACATGTGTTGCAATCTCTACCTATCCACCTTCTATCAGCAATAACCCCCCCTAGTACTATCCTCTAACAGATCCAGAGCATCATGGCAGACTTCTTTTAGGGGTGGAGGAATGAGAGGAAAAAATACCATTGGGCGTCGTGGAAAAACTTAAGCTTTCCCTATGATGAGGGGGGTGTAGGGATGAGGAACATCAAGGATGTATGCATGGCCTTTCAATATAAACAATGGTGGATTTTCAGATCCAAACATACCCTTTGGGGAGAATTTTTGAAGGCCAAGTATTGTCAAAGGTCTAATCCTATTAGTAAGAAATGGGATTCCGGAGAGTCATTAACCTGGAAACACATGATGCACAACAAACATAAGGTTGAAGATCATATTCAATGGAAGCTCAACTCAGGCACTTGTTCTTTTTGGTGGGACAATTGGCTTGGTGTTGGACTCTCGCCTGTCACTCCACTGGTAGTAACAGGTTCAATCAGACCACTGTGGCAGAATTTTGGCTCGAGGGACAATGGAACCTGAACATGCTCCTGCAACAGGCCCCTAGCAGGCAGCTTGACAACATCTTATCCACAGAACTTTGCATCCAGCAGGACATCCCAAACCAAGCTATTTGGAAACCTAACAGTGATGGCAAATTCAACTGCTCTTCTGCATGGAATGAGATCAGGGAGAAGAGGACCAAGACGATGTTCAATACATTCATTTGGCATAAGAGTATCCCTTTTAAATCTTCTTTCCTTCTGTGGAGAACTTTACGTTGTAAACTGCCTACTAACGACAAACATATTAGCTTTGGCAATGAGCCTACAAATTGTTTTTGTTGTAGTTACAGGCCAGGGCTGGACAACATTGAACACATCTTCAACAATGGACACTTTGCTACCTACGTGTGGAAAAGTTTTGCTGCTGCTGCTGGAATCATACCAGATCACAGCTCACTGTCTCAGCTCATAGTGCAGTGGTGGTCAGCTAAGTACAACAATGCAGCACACAAGCTACTGCTACAAGCTACACCAATATTCATTTGTTGGAACCTTTGGAAGAATCGTTGCGCTAATAAATATGGAGGCAAAGCGTCCAATGTTAGTAGAGTCAAATATGCCATCTACAAAGACAACTACAAACTAATGCACACAAATTTCCCCCAAATCAAATGGCCGTCAAGCTGGAAGGATTTGTTTCAGCTGGGGGAGAATTGCATTCATGATATCAAAGTGACACTCGTTAAATGGATAAAGCCGCCGGCTCGCTGGATCAAAATCAACACGGATGGCAGTGCCTTAAGCAACCCGGGCAGAATTGGAGCAGGCGGCATCCTAAGGGATCAAATGGAAGCAATGCTACTAGCTTTTGCTACTCCTTTGGGGGAAGGCACTAACAACCAGGGGGGAAGGCACCAATAACCAGACTGAAATAGGAGCAGCCATATTTGGCATGACATGGGTACTTCAACTAGGCTACAAGAAGGTTCTCTTAGAGGTGGACTCATAGCTACTGGTGGACTGGATCACGCTGAAAACCAAACCTCCATGGAATATTAACAAACAACTACAGCAGCTCCAACAACTCATCAGACAAACACACAACTTTAAATGCAAACACACCTTCAGGGAAGCCAATTATGTGGCCGACACCCTATCAAAGCAAAGTCACAAAATTACATGTCCACAAATATATTGCAACAGTCAACAATTCCCATGTCGCAATTTCGGAAGAAGAATTAGACTGGGCACGAAAAATCATTTCCTTAGAACAATCTGGAAAGATTCATGTTAATTCGAATAGGAACAATGAATCTCCATCTAAAGATCTACCTACAGTCGAAAAATCACACAATTCCATCGCTCAAATTGGGAGATCTGAGATGGCGATTTCTGGAGAAATATCGGAAAAATCGCCTCAGACGCGCCCTTGAATTCCAACATCTTTTGATGAAATGAATGACATTTCAACTACTGGGGAATCTTCCCCAGGTCAAGCAGTATATCATACTGCAATCTCGAATCGTTTGGATGGTGGAATCGCCGACATAAAATCCGACCAAGTCACCAAAACTCCGGTCAACAATGGCGACAAAACTTTACACCAAACACATCCTTGTGATAAGGACAACCTTCCTGAGGTAACAAAATCACTAATTCAACACGAAAATAACATTAATTGTTCTTCCAACTTGCAGGACAAATTCACAGCACCTGTCGATGATCAAAACTCAGGCGAGGAGCTGGAGTCAATTCGAATTGCTAATATGTTGAACCAAGGAAACAATCAAGATAAGAATTGCACCCCAATTCAGAGAAAGGAAACAATGCAACCTGAAAATGAGGAATGTAATCCCAAAGAAACCACCGATGGGAATGGACATGGAAGAATGCAAGGGATTCAACATGTTGTGGAAAGGCAAAGTCAAGAAGCAAACAATTCGAAAGAATTAGAACACACTTCTACAATAATAGAGAAACAGCATGACACAGGGGAGGCTGTTTGGAAGCTAAAAGAGAAGGCCAATCCAGAAAAAGATACAATGCAACAAAGCAAATCTTACGAAGGTAACAACCACAACTCGACTTCAGATAAGTCACCTAACCTTGGTCCTACCTCTAATAATCATATTCATCCCTCATCCACTGATCCTCGTAGTAGACAAAATGGGACTGGGAAAGGTCATGTTGTAGTGATCAATGGGAAGAATGATGTGGAAACACAACCTGCTAAAGCCATTCAATATGATCGGAACCAAATAGTTCCCAAGATTCCCCCTCCTCTCAAAGTGTCTTCCAATTTTGATGCATATAGACCTGCACAACATAAAACCAACCAAAACAGCAATGATCAGAACCAAAACAAACTCCCTGCCACCAGTTCCACTAACAGAAATACCAACCAAATCCCTGATCCAGCTCCACCAACTGTAACTCAATCTCTTGCCACTAGACATCGAGCTAACCAAATAAAAAATGCCATTCCTATGATCATTGATCAACCCATTATTACCACTAGACAAGGATATCCCTCAATAACTTTTTATGAAGCGGATTTCTTACAGAAGATGCCAGGCAGGTGTAAGTATACTTTGGTTGGTAAGTTCATCAATGCAATGCCTAGAATGGAAGTCATTCGTAAAAGCTTTATTGCTCAAACTCAGCTCACTGGGGGTGTCAAGATAGCACATTTTAATTCTAGGCACATTTACATTGACTTGGATAACGAGGCTGATCATATTTCTGTCTGGACAAAGCAAAAAATGTTCATTGCAGGTCACTCTATGAAACTACAGGTATGGACTCCTACTTTCAAACCTGCGGAGGAAACACCTATAGTACCTATCTGGATTACCTTACCAGAACTGCCCTGGCACTGTCACTATATGGACATTCTTACACCTTTACTATCTCCTATTGGCAAAGCACTTTACCCATTGGCAAAGCACTATACCTTGACTCTGCAACTGTACAAAAAACTAGTGGTAGTGTTGCAAAGGTTAGAGTTCAGATTGACCTTACTAAAGAGAGACCTCAACATGTTTGGCTGGGATTCTCTGAGAAAGACCTTAATCTGGGCAAATGGCAAGTAATTGAATATGAAGATGTTCCATCTTATTGCTTATACTGTAAGCATCAGGGCCACATGATGGGAGAATGCTCACAAAAAGAGAAAGATGATGAAACCAAGAAAAACAAAGAAATGGAGGCTAACAAAAAAGGACAAAACAAATAGCAAAATCAAAGCTCTAAAGGAAATCAGCAACAGGTTCAAAGCAAGGAAAACATGCACTCAAACAGGCAAGGCAATGCGAAGAGGCATACTGAAGCTGTTACTGAAAATAAGGAGGAGCAGTGGAAAATCCAAAACAAGAATAAAAATAGACAACACAACCAAAATCAGGATCCAAAAAAGGTTTGGAAACCTCAGGCGCAAAAAAAACAGGTCAACCAATCTCAGGTGCAGCACATCGAGCAGCAAAAAGGTATGACTTCTAAGACCCCTGTATTGGAGAGTAATGAATCTGGTGATCAGATTCCTACAACCCCCTCCCCTGTTATTGTTGATGTTGACCATTGTTCAGATAATGAAATCCTCATCCCTGTAATTCCCTCTGTTGCTGTTGATGATCAGTGTGATCACAATGATATCCCATCCCCTGTATCCCCCCTGGTTTTAGCTGATGAAGTTATTGGAGGGAGGTTGGATGTACAGGAGAAAACCTCTAATCTGCAGGAAGGGGTTCCTAGGGGAAGGGTTAGTGATCAAACCCCTGCTACCACTCAGAATAATATTCCACACCACCAAAAAAAGGCCCACCTAACCAGTGAAGAGGGTAAAGAAACACCAAATCAGCAGATTCATATCAATAATGCACAGAGAAATCAACCCAAAGGGTCTATGGCCAAGGATATGGGAAACAAGGAAGGTCCAAGTAACCAGATGGAAACTCCTAAGAGTAAGAATAAACCTAGGAAAAAAAAGAGGGAAGCTACCATGAAGAAACAGAATGAACATAATCACCAAAAACAGTCCCCCAATACCAGTCATCCGGAAGAAAATCCTTGTACAAACTTCATAATGATGGACCAGATTATGGATGTGGTTCCAGTGAATGCTAGGAAGCCCCCTGATCAATCCAAAGTCAATGTTAGAGATGAGTATGATGTGGATAACTCAGAAGATGATTTTGATCCTGATAATCTGCCTATAAATGATCTAGATGAAGATGACGAGATTAGTGAATTACTAATCAAAGCTTTTAGCCCTAACAAGGATCATGAATTAGAAAAAGAGCTTCAACAAGTCACCGACAAACAAGGCCTCTCTCCCAGAGGTATTCACATTGACAGACTCCCCCTCAAAAAACCAGACTCTCCTATTCCTGTTACAGCAGGAAGACCAAACACTAGACTTTTCACCTCTAGATCATCCCAATGATTAGTATAATAATATGGAATACTAGAGGAATCAATACCCAAGGTGCTATTGAAAGACTCACAAACCTCAAGAAAACAGCAATCATGTGTCCATGATTGCTGTTTTGGAACCTTTCTCTGAGAGCAACAATATCAACATGTTTAAAAGTATGCTTGCCATAGATAATGCTACTAGTAACACCAATGGAAAAATTTGGCTATTTTGGACCACTGATATTTCTTGCACTGTATTAGAAACGGATGAACAACATATCACTTGTGAAATCAGCCACATTGAAATTTTATCTATACCAAGACCTTCGTGTATGCCAAATGTAAAGAGCATCTCAGAGAACCTCTTTGGGACAGATTACTTCACTTGTCTGATACTAGAAATACTACTCCTTGGTGTACAGTTGGAGACTTTAATGTTATAACTGACATTGATGAAAAATTGGGAGGTATACCATATAATATGAGAAAAAGTCTTAGCATTATTGAGGCAAGTGGACTCATGGATTTGGGATTTAATGGACCTAAATTCACTTGGTCTAATCAAAGGGGTATCAATTTCAGAATCTGGAAGAGGTTGGATAGGGCAATGGTTAACGATAATTGGTTGCAAAACATGCCTCACACCTGCATCACACACCTCCCTTCTGTGGGGTCGGATCACTGTCCATTACTTATGGAAATGACTGCCAGACCAGACAATTGCATCAAGTATTTCAGATTCCTTAACTGCTGGGTTGAGCAGCCTTCATTTGAGGAGACAGTCACTTCCTGCTGGAACAGACCAGTGGAAGGAAACCCCATGTGGTCATTCCATCAAAAAATGAAGAGCTTGGCCTCTACTCTTAGCACTTGGTCCAAGATGCAATTTGGTGATATTTATGCAAAGGTCAAGGAATTCGAGGAAAGAGTCAAGGTAGCAGAAGACGACCTCCTTCAGAACAACACAGAGAAACATAGAGAAGAACTTCACAATAATAATGTTGAGTATATTAGATACATGAAATTGGAAGATGCTATTCTTAAACAGAAATCATAGTTGCAATGGTTTAAAGAAGGTGATGGTAACTCCAAATACTTCCATGCATTGATTAGAGGAAGGAGGAGAAGATTATTTGTCCATAAAATCCTCAATGATAATGATGAATGGATACAAGGTGATGAACATATTGCAAAGGCAGCATGCGATCATTTTCAGCATATATTCACAGGTGAGGAAACAAAGATTGATGAACTCCCTATGGAATGCATTCCAAGAATAGTCAGCCAGGAACACAATGACAGGTTGAAAGAAACTCCTTCCATTGATGAGCTTAAGGAAGTTGTTTTTTCCATGAATCCCAATTCAGTTGCTGGACCGGATGGTATGAATGGCTTCTTCTTCCAGAAATGCTGGAATATTATCAAGAATGACTTGATGGCTGTGATTCAAGCTTTTTTCAGCGGCCAGATGATTCCTAAATTTTTTTCACATGCCTGTCTTATTCTCCTTCCCAAAGTGAAAAATCCTAATAGACTCAATGAATTCAGGCCTATCAGCTTGAGTAAATTCATTACCAAGATCATTTCTAAGTTATTATGTCATCGATTAGCTCGTATTTTACCTAGTCTGATTTCTCCAAATCAATCAAGCTTTGTAAAAGGTAGAAGCATATCAGAGAACATTATGTTAGCCCAAGAAATTATCCATCAGATGAAGAAACCTATTATTGGAAGCAATGTGGTGATCAAGCTTGATATGGCAAAAGCCTACGATAGGGTTTCATGGTCTTATATTTGTTTGATCTTGAGGAAAATGGGTTTTGAAGAGGTTTTTATTGACATGGTATGGCGAATTATGGCCAATAATTGGTACTTTATCATTCTTAATGGTAGAAGGTATGGTTTCTTCCATTCAACTAGAGGCCTTAAACAAGGTAATCCTCTATCCCCAGCCCTATTTATTTTAGGTGCGGAGGTATTATCTAGGTCTCTAAACAGACTCCACCAGCAGCCTCTTTATCATGGTTTCTACATGGAAATGAGAGGACCACAGATTAACCACCTCAGTTTTGCGGATGATATCATTATTTTCACTTCGGGGAGGAAGGATTCTCTCAAGCTCATCATGCAGACTTTGACTACATATGAAAGAATCTTAGGGCAACTCATCAACAAATCCAAGAGTCATTTTCTTCTCCATCCTAATGCCTTCAGAACTACATGTGATAGAGTTAAAAGGTATACTGGATTTCATCAGAAGGAGACTCCTATTACATATCTTGGTTGTCCACTCTTTATTGGGAGACCTAGACTTATTTACTTCTCTGAGCTCATCAGTAAGATTGTGAACAGAATCACAGGATGGCAATCTAAGATGCTAAGTTATGGAGGTAAAGCCACTTTGATTAAGCATGTTCTCCAATCCATGCCTATCCATATTCTTTCTGCTATTTCCCTCCCCCCCCCCCCCCCTTCTACTATTCTTAAACAGATTCAAAGTATTATGGCTGAATTCTTTTGGGGACGAAGGGATGACAAGAAAAAATATCATTGGTCGTCATGGAAAAATCTCAGCTTTCAATATGAGGAAAGGGGAATTGGAGTAAGACAAATGAGTGATGTTTGTCAAGCATTCCAATTCAAACATTGGTGGATCTTTAGAACCAAGCATAATCTTAGGGGAGAATTTCTTAAAGCAAAATATTGCCAAAGATCTAATCCCATTAGCAAAAAATGGGATACGGGAGAGTCTCAAGCATGGAAGGTACTCATGAGAAACAAACATAAGGTGGAAAATCATATCGAATAGAAGATTAAAAATGGTTCTTGTTCATTTTGGTGGGACAATTGGTTAGGAGTTGGACCATTGGCTCAATTCACTACCACTAGTCACAGATTTGACAATGAAACTATCTCGGACTTTACGACAAATGGGCAGTGCAATGTCGACAAGCTGATCAGACTTGCTCCTCAAAGCCAGTTACATGCAATTCTGTCCACTCAGATACAGCTACAGCAAACCAGTGCAGACCAGGCAATATGGAGTCTCAATTCGAATGGCCTCTTTACTGTCTCTACTGCCTGGGATATTATAAGAGAAAAAAAAGCCAAAACCACGATTAACTCCTACACTTGGAACTGACAAATTCCTTTCAAATGTTCTTTCTTGTTGTGGAGAACAATAAGAGGCAAACTCCCTACTAATGAAAAGCTTTCATATTTTGGAATCGAACCAAGTGACTGCTACTGCTATCACTCGCCAGGTGAAGATACCATTGAACACACTTTTAATACAGTGAACTTCGCAAGGAATATTTGGAAATATTTTGTTGTTTCTTTAGGCATGCAAACTGATTTTTTGCCTCTTAGAAACATGATCATGAGGTGGTGGAGTTCTTCTCACTACAATGAAGCACACAAGCTAATTCTACAATCCACTCCAATCTTTATTTGTTGGAATTTGTTGAAGAATAGATGTGCTAAAAAATACGGGGGCAAACAGTCCAACATTGCAAGAGTAAAGAACCTAGTGATTTTGGACACCTTCAAGCTGCTGCGTACAACTTTTCCATATATATCGTGGCCTTTGGAATGGAACAAGCTATGTACATTCATTGAGAAATGTACTCACGACACCAAGGTCACGGCTGTCAAGTGGACTAAACCTCCAGCCAGATGGGCTAAATTAAATACGGATGGGAGTGCCTTGAATAACCCAGGCAGCATAGGAGCAGGGGGAGTACTCAGGAATTCCCTTGGAGAAATTATCTTCGCTTTTTCAACTCCATTAGGTGAAGGAACCAACAACCAAGCGGAGGTGGATGCTGCTATATTTGGCTTATCTTGGTGTGTTCATTTGAATTATAATAACGTGATCCTTGAAGTTGATTCCCAACTTCTTGTGGAATGGATCAAGAACAGCACCACAGCCCCTTGGTCCCTCTCAATCCAAATGCAAAAGCTTTCACCAAATGGTCACTCAATTCACTCACATCAAGTGCATTCACACTCTTAGGGAGGCCAATTTTGTGGCAGACTCACTCTCCAAACAAAGTCACCAACTTACCAGTCCTCAAGTGTACTTCAACAGCCAGCAGCTCCCCAAACTTGCAGCAGCTTATCTTCATCAAGACCTCGCAGGTATGGCAAGTTTCAGAAGAAGAAAATTGAAGAGAATTAAGGAACCACCTTAATTCTTCACAGCCTAGAGGTCCTATGAAGAAGCCAGAATTTCTTCAGGCCCTCTGGTTTGCATGATCTTTCGGTCATCTACATACAGGCTGCCCCTTGATAGGAAAGATTTTTGGTTAGTCTTTTGCTTGTAAAGGGAGAGTCTCCCTCATTTATGCTTTCCTAAATTCTTTGTATCGAGATGAGTCCTCTCATATAGGTGCTTAGATGATAGGATCTTAATTAGTTTGGGGAAGAGTTGGAGAACCTACAGAGGTTACTTAGTAGGCTACCAACTCTTGTTTCACCATTAAGTGGAGGTAAGGTTTTTGTCCACCTCCGTGTACCTTTTACTTTTTATCTATGTTAGGGCCTAGGGGTGTAGCTAAGCCCCTGACCCTCCAAGGGTCGTTAAAAAAAAAAAAAAAAAAACCTAAACCCTAAACCTTAAACCCTAAACCCTAAACCCTAACCCTAAACCCTAAACTCTAGATCCAAACTCTAAACCCTAGATCCTAAACGCTAAATCTGAATTCTAATCTTTAAATCCTAAATCCTAAACTCTAAGCACTAAACCCTAAATCCTAATATCAAAACCCTAAACCCTAACCCTAAACCATAAACTCTAAACCCTAAACCCTAAACCTAACTGTATATCTTAAACTCAAAACCCTAAACCGTAAACCCTAAACCTAAATCCTAAATCCTAAAACAGAAACCCTTAAACCTAAACCCTAAACCTAAAACCCTAGACCTACACCCAAAACCCTAAACCCTAAACCCAAAACCCTTAAACCTAAACACTAAACCCTAAACCTTATACCCTTACCCCTAAACCCTAAACTGGAAAACCTAAAT